GTTGCTTATAAGGTTAAAAAGTGTAGAAAACAGAACGTTTAAGATTTGAAGAAGAAAAGGAGGTGTTAAGATGCAACAGTCATGAGCAACACGGCATCTTAAATCTATTAATGACACGACAACTTAATTTGCAGGACCTTTTTTGACAGGAGAATAACAGAGCATACACCATACTAGGTCAATATAACATTTAAAAGCTACATTAATGATGATTGGCACCAGAGTACAGTGTGATTAAATGCATTACAGTGCGCTGCAGATGTAGAGATCAGTCGTGTTCAGTGTCTCTCTTCCTGTGTAATGATTTACGGCCTTACCTGCGCTCAGGTGATAAAACATCCTGAGCCGGCTGTTTTATCACCGCAGCTGTAAATCATGGTGAACACGCGCTGTGAGAAAACAAAGGCATTACAAACCTGGTCAAACAGGAGAGTGTCATGTCTTTGGTTTGTGGCTCGCACAGATTTAATATTGGGTAAACAAATCATTGGAGCTGTAAATTATATCTGTGACATCACCGCTGCAGGCAGCCAATCAGAATGTGTTACTTATGGATGAGGTTAGAATTAAAAAAGAAAGAAAAGGTAAATAAATAAAAGAAATAAAAGAAATAAAAGAAATAAAAGAAATAAAAGAAATAAAAGAAAGAAAAGGTAAATGAAATAAATGAAATAAAATAAATAAAATAAATAAAATAAATAAAATAAATAAAATAAATAAATAAAATGAAAGATTGAAAAAAATACATAAACACAAGGTGTTAATAAAATAATGTGTAATTAAATATTAAATTAAATTTTGAAATCTATATAAATATAAGAAGGTTAAATAAAATGTCTTTATAATTATAAAATAAAAATAATTTAAACATAAAAAAACCCCTCTAAATAATTATCTCTGTCCCGTTGGCACCTCTGAGCGTTTGAGCGTCTTTCAGCGTCTTGTTTTGGTGGATATGACCTCATATCACTTGCTCTTATCAACTTCTCTACAGCGGGAAATAAATCATTAAGCTGCGACAGGTCCAGATGTTCACTTCAGGAGCTTCTGAAGACATAACCAAAGCTAGTAAAACAGTGAATATTGGAAATGTAATCACTTAAAGTTTCCTCAACATTCCCCATCTTTGTTCCAGGTCAAGATCTGGTTCCAGAACCGTCGCTCCAAGTTCAAAAAGCTCTACAAGAACGGGGAGTTTCCTCTCGGCGACATGCCTATTGAACACAGTCCAGACGCCAGTGACTCCATGGCGTGTAACTCCCCCCCCTCCCCTGCTGTGTGGGACAACAACAACAACAACAATGGCGTCGACACAAACGTCGTTGTTGGCGTCAAAAGTAACGCCATAATGGATCCTAGCAGCAGAGTTCAGGATCCCTTTCAGCCGCCGATGGATTCCTCGCCCGCCTGTATGGGAGAAATGGGAGATTTCCCCCCCCAGGACTGGTACCAGCAGCCACATTTAGGTCTTCCTCCAGTGGGTCCAACAGCTCCTTCAGCCTCACAGAGTCTGGGAGTCTACTGACGGCGCCTCGGAGAGACTCTTTGTGGACTTTTTGGACCAGAAACAGCCGACAGGGATCATCAGACTCGAGTCCTGATGATAAAACTCCCACATCTGAATTTCATAGTAGCCTCTTCTTCTGAAGATCCCACAGAGCACAGATACGCTCCTATAACTGTACTCTAAGGAACCTTGTTTCCAGAAGCACAAACCAGAACGAGGAGCTAAAAGAAGCTCAATCTGTTTGTCTAATTAACATATGCAACTTTCACACAGCCATTAGTTCTGACAAAGCTCTACAGAGCGATTTGGTGTCTTTCAGCTGCTTGTTTTGGTTGCTTTCCTATAACTGTACTTCAAGGAACCTTGTTTTTAGCAGCAGGGGCCACATGTAGGTCTTCCTCTGGGAGTCTACTGACGGCGCCTCTGAGAGACTCTTTGTGGATGATTTGGACCAGAAGCAGCCGACAGGGATCATCAGACTCGAGGAAACGTGGATTGGAAAAGTCCCCCCGGCTCTGAAGTTCATGAACTTATCAAATAGAGACGAGGGTGATGCCGATTCCTTATTTAAAATCATTGATGATATTTTGTATATTTAATATTTAGAACTTGACCCTATTTATGCCTCAACATAAACACAGCCTTCTCTTAATTTGGAAAGAGCTTCTGATGCAAGATTTTCCCTCCAAACTTGAATACTACTGACCCTGGCTAGCACGGCAGATTTCAAGATAAGTTTGGCTTTAAATTGACAGAAAACTGGAATTCATGTGATCGGACGGCGTGTTAGTGAACACTGAGAGGCCGATAACCTTAAAAGTAAAACATCAGGCGAGACCAACACTGACATATCTGTTTAAATAACTTAATTCAAACCACTTTTCCACTAGAGATAAAGGTCCTTATGGACATTAATGGCGCATTTCCACTACAGCGCGGAGCTCGCTTTAAGCGTGCCGTGCCGTGCCCGGCCTGTTTTTGGTTGCGTTTCCACTTGGCCTAGTACCGGCCGGCGGGTCCTAATTCACAGTTTTTCTGGCCTCATAAAATCGTGGGTCTAGGGCCAGAGACAACGAGGCTGAGTCGGGCTGAGTATGCTAAACTAGAGAGAGAATCGCTGGCAAGGGGGCAACAACTACAACAAGATGGACATATTTGACCGTGATTTAATTGTAATACACGTTTCTAAATGATGAAGTAACAACATACTGATACCGGTTAGTAAAAACCATGAATTAATGCTTTGTCAAGTCTGCAGACAGACGGCAGGCGAAACACCTTTTAAAATGCGTGTTTTCTAAATGGAGATTGGCTAAGCTAACGCAGTATATGCTCCGACCGTCCACACTCACAACAACGGCCTATACAGACATAAATAAACCAGCGACTGTATTCTCCATGACACAGGCAGTCTGTGGTTTGTACTTGTTTAACTTTTGTCTAGTTTCTGAACAGATATGAGGAGCTGTGAGCTCTGAGTGCTAACAGCTAACGGCTGTGTTGTTTTTCTGGGGTTCTCATTGAAGATGACGTCACGGCTCCGCCTACACTGCGTTACTATAGTAACTACCCCAGTTCCTAAACTGTAATGGAAATGCGCCATAAAGTGAGCCAGTCCTAACGAGGCCTAGCCATACCGAGCGAGGCCGAGCGAGGCCGAGCAGTGGAAATGCGCCATAAGACAACATGTATTTATCTAACTTAAGGGCATTTTATCTGTCTTTTAAGAAGGGCTGATCTAACAATGTTTGCGTATAAAAGTAATAAAAGTACACACAACATTTGGCAGGAATACAGACTTCTACTATCTGCTGGTAGCTTTGAGTAGCATTACAGGGAAGAAACCAAAACGATGCGCTAACAGAAGCTAAACCAGTTTTCTAATCAGTTTTTTTATATTAACAATTGACCTATGCAACTTTCTAAACAGTGGTTTGTTCTGGCAAAGCTACAGAGCCTTTTAGCGTCTTTTAGCTTGTTGTTTGGGTTGGTTTTACTTCACCTCGCTCACTATATCAACCTCTTTCCCAGGAGAAAAACCAGCCAGATGTTTTACTTGAAGAGTTGTTGAAAAAACACAGAGCTAACACTGAAGTTAGTATTGTACATTCAGCATATTGACATAAAGAAGAGGCAAAAAGGAAACAGCGAGGGCCGTGATACACCGACTTTAAGCCTCTCTACAACTAATACATTACTAGAAATGCTGGAACCCAAAGATCCCATAATGCAATGCCTTTAATCATTTCATAAACGTCTGATCTGTCGAACTCCATGTTGCTATTGAAGGCTCACATCTCAAACTCTACACCAAGTTAACGATGAAAACAACACAACTTAAGAAACGTTGGGAACAACAGTTCAAGCAAATAGCAGGTTGGTGCTAAAACATTAAAAAGAAAAGTTGTATTATATTCTTAATAATTGTATTTGTGCTGTACTCAGGTTGTTTTTATTTATAGTGTCAACTGTAGAACAAAAGTGGCACAGCAGTTTGTGCCCGAGGAGCTTTTTTATTTTATGGTTTCCCAGAAAATGATTACAAAATAAAATGTCTATATTTAAAACGGCTAGAAGTGTATTATTTAAACGTGTATTTGCATGTGAAAGCAGTACACACACACACACACACACACACACACACACACACACACACAACACACACACACACAACACACACACACACACACACACACACACACACACACACACACACACACACACACACACACACACACACACACACACACACACACACACACACACACACACACACACACACACACACAAAGGCGTTGAAAGTGTGCTGACGATGCTGGTGTGTCTGCCAGAGTGAGTCAGACAATAGATACAGGTTGCACCCATCTCTTTATCACACACAAACACACACACACACACACGCAAACGCACACACACACACACACACACACACACACACACACGCGAACGCACACACACACACACACACTCAATGCGTGTGAGCAGGTTGTGGGAGGTGACGGTGCTGCAGACACTCTGGAGTCTCTGGATGTTAATAACACACCGCTGACAGACAGACGCTGTCCACGGCTTTCATGTGGCACACAGTTGGAGAGGGTGGAGAAACGTGTGTGTGTGTGTGTGTGTGTGTGTGTGTGTGTGTGTGTGTGTGTGTGTGTGTGTGTGTGTGTGTGTGTGTGCAACAAACAAGCTGCTCTCAACCAGCCTAACCCACAGGTTGGCCAACAAAAAGAGGGTGTGAAGAGCAAAGAACAAAGACAAGCAATAATACAGACACATAGAGACAATATCAAAATATTCTCAAAGAATGTCTGCACGTGAACGGGTATGACTGACGTTTAAAAGAATGGTTGAGCATTGAGGGAAATATTCCTGATGTTTGGTTGGGTTTTTATTGAAGGGCGTTGGATAAGAAGAAGATCACTTGTCTCTGGTGAATTTGAAGCTTCAGCCGTTAGCCGCTTAGCTTAGCATAGCTATCCGGTTTTGGTATTTGGTGATATCAGGACAGCAGGAAGTCAACATATCTTCCATTACAGACTGAAAACCAGTCTGTTTGGCTTGTACCACACCCTGAAGGCGACACACACTGAAATGACCTCTAACCCTAACCCAACACTGACATTGTTTTGCCGCCAGGAGGGAGGGGCTTCTTTTGTACCAGAGGTCAACATGTCATGGAAATCCTCCTTCTGATTGGCTGTGGGTTCTGTCTCACTTACCTACACTGCAAAAAGTATAAAGCGGCTTTCACACCAGCGCTTTTCCCTTTCTAGCTCCGTGCTAGAGCTTTTCTGGTTCAGCTCCGGTTTCCCTTTTCAGCTCCCGCTCTGTTCACACCACTCAGAGCCGGGATGGTGCTGCCGCTGCTGTGTCATGACCTCACCGTTTACATCGCTGATTTGCTCCCCAACGGCGCTCACAACAACAACAACAACAACGGGGGATCTGCGTCGGGTCGATGATCGTGTTGCTTTTAATCATACGAAGCCAGATTAAATTAAATAACGACTTCTCCAACCTTATACTTTTCTCCAGAGTGCCGTGGTTCATTGTTTATTAATGTGTTTCATTTAGCGACCGCTGCAGTGCTGGCTGCTCTTCCACGAGTTTATTCTCCCGTTAGCTCCGGGTTAGCTCACACGGCTCTAAAGTATTCACTGTCTGACTGTCACACAAGCAGCTGATACATATCCCCAGTTCCCCTTAAGTGAATGTGTGTCAGTCTGAATTGACGCTGTTTGGCATCACAACGCTGTTATGAAAGTTTCTCTGGTATAACATGGGTGATGTTAGCATAGCAACCGAAGCTAAACTGACTACTTGCTAAGCCGTTTTCTGCAGGCACATTTTACCGGCGTATTTTTCATTATGATTCTACTTGTGATAGTCGGACATGACAACCTGTGCAGCCCATGTATTGATTCCATCCGATAGCTGCTATAATAACAAACGTCTGCCTGCTCTCCACAATGATCAATAACAGTGAACGGATGGTCAAAGTAAGGTACAAATAAACAGAATCACACGAAGCCTGGTTAGTGTTGCCTGACTTTATAAAGTGTGTTTTTTATAAGTGTGTGGTTGCCTTCTAGTCACTTTGCTCAGCGCTACGGCTTGTAGGCAGGCATGACGAGACTCTTCAGTCGACCCATGTTCAGGGGAGGTGGGTTTAGTTTCCTGCACGCCTCGACGTAAGAGAGACGTATGCGACGCCGCCTCATAGCTCCGGAGTCTTGCTTCTAGACCGACAATTTTGGAGCTGGAAACGAACCGGATTCCGGAGCTAAGAGGCGGCGCCGCTGCGGTGTGAACAGGAAAAAACGGTACTTTTCAGCTCCAGCTCCGAGCCGGCCCTGAAAACGCGTTGGTGTGAAAGGGGCATAAATGTTCCTTTAGTTTCCCTTAGATCCAGCTGTGGACCGTTGGGCATTCGAGGTAAGGGTTCAAAGTTTCTCTTTATAGCTCCCAATCAGTTGGATAGCATAGCATAGCATAGCATAGCATAGCATAGCATAGCATAGCCCCCATAGAATGAGGGAAGGTTAACCATACAGTAGATGGTTCTAGGTACAACCCTTTTTGTTGAACCCTGTGTAAAAGGTTCTACCAGGAACCCAGAATGGTTTGTTCCACTTGAGTGAATCTGAAGGGCCATTCATGGTTCCTGTCGGCACCTTTGGTTCTCACTAATTAAAACACTGAAGTGTGAAATGTGCATTGTGGTTTGGGTTGGCCCGGGTTAACAGGCGGAGACTTTGGGAACGTAATGTACCTGAAAGAGGATGAAACATGACGGAGTAATAACACATTGTGATCTGTTTGGGATGTCTCGCTCACAGTGAGTCCATGCGAGCGAGAAGAAGCTAATCAAGTTTCTTATATTAACAATTTATCCATGCAACTTTCCCACAGAGCAACAGAGAGTTTTAGTGTCTTTCAGCTGCTTGTTTCGGTTGGTTTTTGACCTTATTTCAATCATTCTATCAATCCATTTAGCCAGCAGCTGTTCTCAACAACAACAACCTGAAGATCCTAAAGAAGAACACAGGTCGAGCTGCAGGTTCACTTATGTTGCAAGAAAAAGCTAAATAGGAACAGCTGATTTAGTACGAGTCAATGCTAATACTTTTCTACTTTTACTTGAGTAACATTTTGAATGCAGGACTTTTACTGTAACAGAGTATTCCTACACTCTGGTACTTCTACTTTTACTCAAGTACAAGACCTGAGTACTTCTACTTTTACTCAAGTACAAGACCTGAGTACTTCTACTTTTACTCAAGTACAAGATCTGAGTACTTCTACTTTTACTCAAGTACAAGATCTGAGTACTTCTACTTTTACTCAAGTACAAGATCTGAGTACTTCTACTTTTACTCAAGTACAAGATCTGAGTACTTCTACTTTTACTCAAGTACAAGATCTGAGTACTTCTACTTTTACTCAAGTACAAATCTGAGTTCTTCTACTTTTACTCAAGTACAAGATCT